GGTCATGAGGGAGCAGTGATTCACACACGGCTGATATTTCAGAGGGATGTATTAATTGACTTGCATGATATTTCAGAGGGATGTGTTACTTGACAGCAGCTTGGTCTGGGGGTGTGGGTATGTTGCTTAGCTGGCAGGTTGATGGGGTTGGAGAGAAGTGGCTGCTTGCTGTGGTGACTGAAGGCTGGGAGGTCTTGGAAAGCTGTCCTGGTTAGGCTGATCCACTGGAGCTGGGGTGCAGATAACACTGACCACTGAGTGAGCTGTGTGTTTGAACATAGCTAGGTGACTCCCCAGGCAGTGCTGCTTGGCTCCTTCAGGAGCTTTGCAGCACTGTTTTTGGGGGGATTGAAATGGGGATGACTTGAGGCCCACTTTCTTGGTGAAACTGTAAGAATCTGGTGAAAATTCATCTGTCTTGGATAAATTGGGGACTCCATGATAGATGCTGCAGTTCTGTGTACTGACCTTACCTGCTCACCTGCTTACCTACACCCCTGGAGGTTTGTAATCTCAATGGAAGCAGGGGGACCTGCGTCTACAACTTCCACAGAAGTTAAGCACATTTAAAATGCAGCTCTTTTTTCCTAGTTTCCTAGCTGTGCTAGGAGGTCATTATGCATGGATTTATTTTCTCTTATCTCTTGGATTATCATCTGCTTCCTTCCTGGGTGAATTTATCCAGTGTTCTGATTGCAGTTCTGTTTTTTATCACCTCCTGTCTTAAGGGGCTTACAGTTGTGTAGGTTTAACATTATTGAGTTGAGGATTTTACAGCAATTGACAATGAAGATAACAACCCATTCATCTATAGAAAGTTACAACAAATCTTTTTGCAGAGTACTTTATTTGACTGTTTGCAGTTTTGATTACAGAATTGCACTGTTTCATTTTCCTTTTTTTTTTCTTTTTTTAAATTGAACTACAAATTAATCTGACTTTGTAAAGGAGAAACAGAGATAACGTTTTAAGTCTTAAGAAACTTCTACAGGGATTCAAACAGCTGGTCAGAGATAATTCTGGCATGCAAACAGGGTCATGAATATCTTAGAAAACGACCATTTAAAATACCAATGCATCAAGTATCTTTTTAGTGTCTTTCTTTGGCTTTGGTTCGAAATTTGATGTTAGGCTATCAGTGGTTTCTGTGCTCATGTAATAGTTGCACAGGAAACAGGGAGGAAATGAGAGCAGAAAATATTTTAGATTGAGGTTTAAGGGAAAGTGATATTACACATTCTTTGAAGATTGGAAAAAAAACCATAACTCAACGTTATCTGCATGAGACTGCAGGCAACCAAGTCCTATGGGGCTGACTCCAACAACTGGGAGTTATCATCTTCCAGAGCCAACACTGCTTGCTTCTGTGTGCATTGGGATGAAGGGAGAGGGACTAGGGATACCTAAAGGAGTAGTAGTTAAACTGGGGGCATGTTTTTGAGACTTTGCTTGAATTGGGAGAACTGCTCATTTCTCCTGAAGCATCTTTCATTTTATGAATAAGAATAGTTGCATTTTAGTGTTCATTAGCTGGCTAACGTTCACTCCCTGTAAATGTTAAAACGCTCTTGCATTCAAATACGTCTGTAGGAAGAGTTATCCAAAAGCATGAATGTTGTATGAGTTGCACAGGGCTACTCTGTTTTGATCTCTTACTTAACAGTAGGATTGTCCCCTCGCTATTATTGTAAAATGTCATTTTGAGTGCAAAATAGGTATCAACACAGCTGAGCATCAAAGTGTTGGTGATTTGTGGTGTAAACCAGTTCAGATTATTTATTTCACTGCTAGTCTCTGTATGGAGCAGCTGCTATAGCACGTTAATCAATTTTTTGGAAAATAACCCATTTAAAAGTTGTATAGACAAGCCCTGACCACTTGCCTGCAGAAAGAAATAAGATGGATCAATTTAAATATTAAATGCAAGTCGAGGTGATTAATTTTTAATGAAGATGGTGAAAAACTGGTTTGGCTTGTATTCCCTGGAACCCCCCCCCCTTTCAAAAGCTTTGCTTTTCCAAAACTGTTTTCTTCATATGCGCGTGGCACAGGATGTGAGTTAGTTCACAGCAGGTAAGTTCATTAGTTGGCATCTGGTATAATATCCAGCTGTGGAAGGCTTATAAATATTGGTATTTAGGTCATCTTAATTAGGCGTCAAAGTAAAGATTTAACAGCAGAATCATTGTGCATACTTCATTGCTGCTGAGCTTCTTCAGTGAAAAGAGGGTGGGGTTCCCAGGTGGTATGAAATGATTTAAGCAGAGCTGCTGTAGATCTTCAGCAGTGCTTCTGTGTGTGTGCCAGGAGCTGAACTGATTAAAAGGAACAGACTGGGGAGAGGTGAAAGATGTGGCAGTTCACAGACGGGTAAGATGCTCTGCTGGATGTCCTTGCTGGCTGCCAGCACAGGCGACAGATAGCACGGGCAGCCCCAGCGTATGTCTTTGTCAGCTTCTGTGTGACCCATGCTTCTTTTCTGATGGTCTGTGTGCTCCTTTCTTCCTGGATGAATGTATCCAGGTTTTTGCTTACATTCGTACTAGCTGGGAGGGAGCTCAGCTAGCTATTCATGATCCCCTTCCAGACCCGGATGAGCACAGAGCTTCCCCGCTTTCTTCAGCAGCCATTAAGCAGACTTAACTTGCCACATTTAGGTCCCTAAAGCACTGCAAAAATCACTACTGTTCAAGCTCAGAGTGAGCTCTTTTATGCTGAGAGGTGCAGAGATTCCCAGCCAGCTTGTGTGGCTTTCAGGGTTAGCAAGCAGAAGCCGGGAGGCAGAATCCCAGTGCTGCGCGTAACAAGTTGAGACCAACAAGGGATGCAAGAGGAACTGAAACAGCTAGCAGACAACTGCGTGACCAGTCTTCAAAGCTGTCCCAGAAGTGATGTTCCCTCAGTAGGTTTACGGATGACACCAAGTTGGGAGGTAGTGTTGATCTGCCTGAGGGTAGGGAGGCCCTTCAGAGGGATCTAGATAAGCTGGATCGCTGGGCTGAGGTAAATGGGGTGCAGTTCGACAAGGCCAAGTGTTGGGTCCTGCATTTTGGCTGAAATAACCCCATGCAGCGCTACAGGCTTGGGGATGAGGGTGGGATGACTGTGAAGAGGAAAGGGACTTGAGGGTGTTGTTTGATTGTTGACTGAATATGAGCCCACAGTGTGCCCAGGTGACCAAGAGGGCCAACAGCATCCTGGTCTGCATTAGAAAGTGTGGCCAGCAGGAACATGGAGGTAGTCATCCCCCTGTACGCAGCATTGATGAGGCTGCACCTTGAGTACTGTAATCAGTTTTGGGCCCCTCACTGCAAGAAAGACATTGAGGCCCTGGAACATGTCCAGAGAAGGGCAGCGAAACTGGTAAGGGGTCTGGAGCACAAATCCTATGAGGAGCGGCTTAGGGAGCTGGGATTGTTCAGTCTGGAAAAGAGGAGGCTCAGGGGAGACCTCCTGAAAGAAGATTGTGATGAGGAGGTGTTTGGCCTCTTCTCCCAGGCAACAAACAGGACCTGAGGAAATGGCTGCAGGCTGTACCAAAGGAGGTTTTAGTTAGACAATAAGGAAAAACTTTTTCTCTCAGAGAGTGGTCAAGCACTGTAATGGCTGTCCAGGGAGGTGGTGGAGTCCTTGGCAGTATTCAAGAGGTGTCTGGATGAGGAGCTGCAAGATATGGTTTAGAAGCTTGTGGTAGTGGTAGAGCTTGTGGCTTGTGGTAATGGGAGGATGGTTGGACTAGATGATCTTGCATGTCATCTCCAACCTTGCGATACTATGATTCTGTGATTCTATTCTATGATGCCTGTGTTATTAACCTAATAACATATATAGCAACAATAAAAAGCAATCGTTATCATTTGGTACACTAGCAATACTGGTGGCTGAAACCTCCAATTTCTCCATCTTGTAGAATCATTCAGGTTGGAAAAGAATTCTAAGATCATCTAGTACAGTTGTTAACTCATCCCCACCATGCTCACTAACCATGACCAGCCTGCACATCCCTGGTACAGTTTGAGGATATTCCCTCTAGTCCTGTTACTGTTACCTGGGAAAAGAGGCTGACTGTGATTTAGCAGCAAGGAGCATGATTTTCCATGTTATGCTTTGGGTGGGCTGTGTCATACCTGTTTTTTGTAGTTTATGATGGTTTTGTAAGCCTGGGTGCAGCTCCCAGTTCTGTGATGCTGTTGGGATGCTTGGATGTGGTGCAGCATCTGCTTCAATGTGGCTGTGCTGAAAGTTCCCTCTGTGCCCACCAGGATCAGGATAACCAGCAAAGTGAAAACAGATTTCCTTCACAACTTAATTTTGCAGAGGTTGACAGTGGATCAGACTCAGCTGTAAAAATCTGGTCTAAAGTACAAACTGCTTGGTGCTGCTTGGAGAAATGAGCAAAGCTCATTTTCAGATGGCAGTTATGTACTCTATGCTGCCAGCTCAGTCAGCATTTTTTTCTGTTTAGTCACTCCTAGCAAGTGATGAGACAGTCAGAGATGAACATGGCTGAGGAGGAAAAAAAAAAAAAAAAAAGGGGGGGGGAGGGTGGGAGCAAAGGGCAAGGAGGAATAAAGAAAATAAGAAGTGTTCCCTGTAACAGTGTGGATGACAGTTGGTCCCTGCAGAGCTACGTTGGCATTATTTTGTCAAAGACCCCCCCGTTTTGGCATTGCAAGCTGCAATACAGCAAGTGAAGGACTGTTGGTGGGTGGGTGTTAAACCCTTACAGAAAGGAAAACTTGCAAGCCCAAACTAAGGAGGAGCTGTTGGGAATGTGAAGTTTTGCTTGCTGTTTTGATACAGAAGCATTTGTGAAATAAATTTTTTTTTTCTTCTGGTTGGAATCAAATAGATTTAATAAGGTAAGAATATAAATAAAACTTTATTACTCAAATGCGAGGCTTGGATAATTAACTGTTTGTGAGCTTTACTCAATAGCACTCAGAGTACGTTGTGGTACACACTAATCGGTGGTGATGTTCTGTGTTTCTTTTCCATAGACGTCGGCTGATCTCCCAGCGATCTTCTCTGGAGACTTTGGAGGACATAGAAGAAAATGCCCCACTACGCAGGTGATTCTACTTACTCTATCCAGTTATTGGTCTGTGAGGAAGTAGCTGAATGTGCACATTAAGATGTTCTTCATGTGGATAACAGTATTGAAACCTCACACACCCTGTAAGGTGGGAGGCAGTGGGAATTACATGTTTCCTAGTTCTAGGTTGTTAAATGGGAAGCCACTATTTAAATTTGATAAATGGAGAAGTTGAGCTACCACTGATAAAAATGGGTAGTTCCAAAACTTCCTACTTTGAAATTATAGATACAGCTGCTTTAATAAAATAAGCTTTTTAAGGTTATTATTTTTCAGTACTGTTTGTTATGGATTTTTAAAGTATTTGTTTCTCCCAGCACACACAATCTTATTTCAGTAACCAGCATTACTGTCTTTGTGAGCTGATTTGTGACTACTTCATTCCTCCCATCCCCGTTACATCATCAGCTTCGTTGTGGCTTGGTTTCTGCATCCAAGAGGCTGCAGCTCCTCTGGGGACTGCAGTAATTAGTCACTAGGCAATCCTCTGGAGTGATGGAAAATAGAGCAACTGTTTAGCAGTTCAGAAATGGGCTGATCAGTAATCTGACCAGTGTGTGGTATGCTTCCAGGTCAGCTGTTCAGCTGGGCAGCAGCTTAATGTTGAATGTCTCTTTATCCTGGGACCTGTAATTCAGCTGATTTATGTTGGTGTTTAGCCTATAACCTTGTTTATCCACATGCAGATTGGCTGTCTCTGCCTACTTCAAAGCAAAGACTTAATAGCAGAGGCTGTACCAACTGGCCTGTTACAAAGACTTGATTCTTTTAGCAAAGCTTACCGTTGAATGCTTACCAGCGTGTTATGAAGCATTCTCATAAATGATTCAAACAAATATAATTGGCAAAAGATATAAACAAAGCACGGCTCACACTGCGTATTTCTATTCGCTAATTTGCAGAATAGTTGGTAAAACTGCTCTCTTGGTGCTGTCTTCCTGTGAAGAACCTAATTGCAACCACAGAGAGAGAGGGTATTGTAAAGGTTTTACTAATGGGAGAAGGCAGAAATAGCACAGTGATGGGGATCAGGCCATGGGGGCATAGCGATGGCATCTATGGGGACTGGCATACCCTGGTGGCTTGAGACCAGTAGGCTGCAGTTTCAGTCATAGAATCATAGAATGGCCTGCGTTGAAAAGGACCACAATGATCATCCAGTTTCAACCCCCTTGCTATGGGGGTGCAGGATCACCAATCACAAGACCAGGCTGCCCAGAGCCACATCCAGCCTGGCCTTGAATGCCTCCAGGGATGAGGCATCCACAACCTCCTTGGGCAACCTGTTCCAGTACATGACCAGGCTCTGTGTGAAAAACTTCCTCCTAATATCTAACCTAAACCTCCCCTGTCTCAGTTTAAAATCATTCCCTCTTGTCCTATCGCTATCCACCCTCGTAAACAGACATACCTCCTCCTGTTTATACACTCCCTTCAAGTATTATAAGGCCACAATGAGATCTCCCCGGCGCCTTCTCTTCTCCAAGTTAAACAAGCCCAGTTCCCTCACCCTTTCTTCAAAGGAAAGAGTCCAACAGAACGACCTCAGGAGGCCAGGAAGCAGCCAAGCTCTGCCTGTATGTAGGAGAGGATGGGAAAGTAAGCAATAGAGGCACAACACAGAGGGGCTGTGCTGGTCCCCTGCACCGTTTCTGGGAGTTCTCTGGTGTGTGTGCTCTGTGACTTGGAACAAAGCAGCAGTAGGATGAAATGGAAAGAGTTTATACAGCATGCTGTGGTTTCTTGATTAAAAAGGCTGGATGGAGGGAGAGATTGTTGTTTGTCTCATCTCTCTTACCTCTGCTAATTTCTTTCTCAATTTTAATAGGTGTGTTCAGATGTAAAATAAATTTAAGGATTAATATTTTGAGGAGAATTTTTTTTTCCTGAGTGATTTGTTTTTGTTTTCCATTGTTCTGTATGTACTGAGCATGGGAAGAGGTAGAGTTAGAAGTGAGTATGAATTACTCTTGTAAGTGAAAGATTTTAAATCTTTCTAAAGTTAAAGCAAGAAAACTTCTCGGTAGCTCCCTAGGATACAAAGGTGTGGGTGTTGATGTGAAGAGGGGAAAAAAATCTCAACAGGATCTACCACATTTTGTTTTGCGTTATTTTTTTCCCTCCAAAAGCTCATGCTAAGCTGTCACAGCAGATTACAGGAAGTTTTATTTTGCTGAGGTTTTTTTTTTTTTTTTTTTAATGTTTTTCTGCATGAAGGGGAGGGGTGGTGGTGCCTTTTCTTATTATTATTTGAAATACTTTTTTTTTATTTGAGCTGTCACATTTCCAGACTTATTGTCTTCATTGTTCTTGCTGATTCCTAAAACAGGGTGCCTAAGATCATTTGTCTAGTCTTTCCTTCCTGCCTTTGTGTAGGCTCCTTGTCTGTACAGCAGGGAACTGAATATATATTTATATATATATATGTATGTAATTTTTTCCTCCTGTCCAATTTATTTTTCAGATGTCGGACTCTCTCAGGATCACCCAGACCAAAGAACTTTAAGAAGGTTCATTTTATCAAGAACATGCGGCAGCATGACACCAGAAACGGCAGGTACTGTGCATGCAAAGGCAACTGATGGGGCGTGGGGACAAGCAAGGCTCAGCATCCCTATGAAGCAGGGCAGTGTGCACTTTGTGTTACCAAATGAGTAGTTGATACAGAACATTAAAGTAGCTGATGAAAGTGCAGGCTCCTTATTTGATTGGATACCAGTCAGTGACAGTGCTAATCCATAGATTTGTAAGGCTTGTGTGTATTAAGGAGTGCAGGGTTAAGTGTAGAGTTAGCTGAATTGTCAGGGCTACCTATTGAAGAAGGCTTACCTGACTCAAGAAGGCAGCTGAGTGAAGGGTATTAAGATTATCCTGTGTCTTACAAGATGAATTATGAACGTGACAGATTCTGGTTTCATCATTGTGCCCTGCCACATGCAAGGTGCTCACTGGTAAGCATGTAGATGAGGATGGTTGTGACAAAGTGACAAGTGAGATCCTTATCTCCTGGGCAGGCATAGGCAGTGGTAGTACTCGGAGACACTAGGAGATGTATGACAAGGTACAGCTGCAACCTTGTGTGCACCCTGAGTAAGGCTGTGCACTACCCATCTCACAGCCATAGGCAGCAGTGGAGTTGTGCAGCAGCACGCTCTCCCTTACTGCAATGGCATGGTGTCTGTCTTGTTCCCATCAACCAGATAGGTTCTTTATTCTGGTGTCATCCATCTCAGAAGTGAAGCAACCTTCTTCCTGCTCATAAAGACACCTCTTCTTTCTGTTCTATTTCCTAAGACAATTTCACCACGTGCTTTATGATCCCGTTCTTCTCTGCGCAAACCAAATAGGTTACCTGACCAGGTTTTATATAGATTGAACTGTCCTGCTGTGAGCTGACCCTTGCACTTATCTGTTTTCATAAAATTGCTGTGACCAAGAAGCATGTTTATGATCTGTAAAACAGTTTGTGTGCATAGCCTGTGATTTTTATCAAATGTAGAATCGAATCAATGGAAATTATCATCATAGAACCGTCATCATGGAATAATTTAGTTGGAAGGGATCCTCAAAGGCCATCTAGTCCAGTTCCCCTGAAACAAACAGGGACACCTACTGCTACATCAGAGACTGGCCTGGTCTGACTTTAAGTGTCTCCAGAGATGGGGCATCCACCACATCTCTGAACAACCTCTTTCAGTGATTAACTACCCTAATTAAAAACCAAAAAACAACGAACAACAACAACAAAAAACCTTTTTCTTTATATTCAGTCTAAATCCTACCTCTTATTTTCAAAATTCTATTTAGTTTGAAATTCTTATGTAACATCAAGCCACAGCTTATATGATTCAAATTTCAGGAAGTTTATCTTGGCTGAAGCAAGAATTCCTTGTGTTTATTCTCACATATGCACTTGAATACAGTGAAAGATATCAACATAATATCAACATAAATATCACAGAATGTGGCTCTGGGAAGTGATAGATTTTTTTGAAACAGTTTTTGTTGCAGACAGATGCATGCAGAACTATTGACTTAGCAGCTGACTATTGTCTAAACAACAAACACGTGTAGAATCCAATTCTAAAAAGCAGCTCTCCAGTTTTACCCTGGTTTGTACATTAATATATGCATGCTCTGGGAATTTCTTACAGCAAAAAAAAAAACACCACTTATAAAGTGTTATGCAAATTCATCAGAGAAGGAGTAATTTGATATGCATATAAAATACATGCATAAACTTCATAGAAACATTACCTGTAAAAGAAAAAATAAATGGTTTGTAAACAATCTACAAAATCACTAATTTTTTCCATCTGTTGCAAAAATACATTTGCAGGATATGTGCAGCATTTTGGCTTAGCTTACATATCAGTCATTGCATCTGATAATAAAACAGAATATTTTTCTTGCTAAGAAAACAGTGCGTAAGCTTTTGTTATTCAACTGGCTTCTTATCTTTATCAGCAGGCACAACTTTGCAGAATATTTCCATAATCATAATAAAGATCCCTTTATCTAGAACACAGATACAGTAAGAAAAGAGAGGCAGTTGAGAAATGCTTTTATCCTATGGACAAAGAGTCACAATGATATTAACTAAAAATAAAACGTAAAGTCAACACTTTGTGTCCTTTAGGGCCAGCTATCTCTAGCGATAAGTAATCTGAGCACGTACCCTGCTTTTCCAAGGGGTCTGGATGTTGTTGCAGTCACTGGAGTTAAGTCATTCTGTATGAAAAGGGCCCCTGGAAAGTCAGGTGAATGTGCTTTATGTATTCAGCCTAGAATCAGAGGTTCTGAGTACCTTTAGACCTCCACAGTTGCCTGTGACACAGGGGAGCACAGGTATTGCAGTGGATAGGAAATCGTTCTCCTTGCCTTGCCCAGGATCTCTTCCCAGGCAATTCATGTGTGTGTGCAGGAGCACTCAGCCTGGCTGGAGTCAGACTTTTGGAGCTATCCCCAAAACCCGTGACCCTTCTGTCACTGCACAATGCCCTTTTATGTGGCTTGACTTGAGGAACTGAGCTTTGAAAGCATCTACACTAATACTTTGATAGCTGAGCTTCAGAATAACTAGTGCTTTTAGTTATTCTTTCTCTGGTGTGTGACCGAGTTTCATAGCAAAGAAAAATGCAGTACGGTTGGTAGCTCAGGGCATATTTTCCTTCTTTGACTGCCCTTACTTGTGCCTCTCAGCCTGTGAGTTCCCTTGCCCTGGAGTGCCGAGACCCCTTCCCTCTTTGGGGATGGCACACGCTGAGAAGCAGTGCTCTGGTGAAAGCCTCCAGCAGTCCTGCACAAAGGCAGGACTGGCCGTTGGTCTTACAGTGGTTCAGGTATTTCAGAACAGAGAAAAACCACCTATACAGGTCACAGCATATCAGTGATTCTTTGTAAAGCTTCCTGTTGATAGCTTTGTGCTGTGGTTAAACCAGTTTCTTTAGACTTATAGGATGTGGTTTACTGAAGGAACTAGAAGACTAGATTTCCTAAACAGTACTATCAAAGCAGTCTTGTAAAACAACACAAAGTAAATTTCCCATTAAAAGACAAAGGCAAGCCAACTAACCATATGGTTTAGGAAATGTAGCCACCAGCATGTGGTTTCGCCCTATGAGACCTAGTGCCTTTACTCAGCAGGTTTATTGGTGGTCTCTTTCATAAACTGTGAAGCAGAAGATTTCCTATCTAGCAGAAACAGGCCACCAAAATAGCAACATGAGCCAGCTGAACAAACAATTCAGGGCAAGAATGTGACAAGAACATTTCTGGAGTCATCCTATATAGCAGTAAAACAATACTCCTCTCCCACTCCCATGCCACTGCTTTCTCAAATTTCCATTAGTGTATGTTTCTGTGTCAAAACCAAGGCTATGAAAGGTCTGTTTTGCTGCCCTTCTAATTCTGATGGTGCACACGTGTGCGCTAAGAGATTGACTGAATGGCCTCATTACTGCTGATGGTTATTCTTGATGACTTTCACATAGGCCCAACTTAAACTTGGAGACTCCAAAATGATGTCTGGTACCGCGATGGCATTTATGGCCTGTGTATTCACCTTCACCTACAGGGACAGAAAGTCTTGCTGCTCAAGCATCATCAGTCACATATAAAGAAATATTCAGCTTGTATGTGGTACATATGATGAATATCGTGTTCACACTTGGAGTCTTTTGCTGCAACATGATTGAGCCTAGATAGAAACTGAAGGAATCGCGTTATTCCCCAAATCAGGCAAATTACTGATTCTGTAGATAGCCTTGTGCTCTGTATATTCTTGTAGTTTCATAGCATACTCCTCATTAAAGAAATTGGAAATTAGTTTTTAGAGCCTCAGACAGTTGGACGTTGTCAGAGCTCTCGTGCAACATAGTGGTTTTTTTGAACCATAGTAATTAGTACAACTTCTTGGTAAAATGTGGGAAATAAAAAGTGAACTTTTTTGCATGAAGTAATTTTAAACATGTCTATGTGGCACAGTTAAGGCACATAAACCCACTCTGACTCCAAGTTCTTCTGATATCTGAGAGAGCTCGTTTGGAGCTGTACACCATCATAGGCACAGATGAAGAGCTGAGATCCAGAAAAATGGTCTTCTCTCATAAACAGTAATCTGATTTTCTTGAAGAGCAGCCAGCTTCCATCACACCTCCTCCAAAGCATACTTTCTAAGAAGGTTCTGGACTTTGTGGTCCCACCCTCAGAACTTTTTTGTTTCTGCACATTATGAAGCCTCTAAATCAAATGATGTTTCATGCCTCTGTGATCAGCTTCTGTCTGCTGCCTCCCTGATTCTCTTCCAGGCCAACTCCTGAAGCTGATTGGCAGCAGCCTCCTCTGAGAGCGATGCAGGGGGAGGTCTGGTAATCTGGCTGTGGAGGAGAGGCCGTGCGTGCTTCTCCCACTCTGCCTGGACGGTCTTTATATAGTGAGGGTCCCCTGTTTCATGGAATGTGTTTGGTTCCCAAGGGAAAGAAATCTGGAGGAAAAAAAAATACAGCCCAGGGGCTCTGCTGATGCTTTTTGTTTCCTTTCTGATCTGATTCTTTCCTGGTGCATGTCAAGCTCTCTCTGGGTAGATGTAGATGGGTAGATTCCCTTTGTTGTCCACAATGCCAACTGTGAAGGCATAAAAGGCACCCGTTTATTTTTCTTTAAGAGAGTTATGGGACATTGGTGGGAGTGCTGTGTTCCAGGAGCAGCCACAGGGAATGGGGGAAATATGCCTGCTGGGTACTGTGGTTTTCTGAATTCAAAGATGCTTTCTGATGTCAACCTCGATATCTGTGCCAAGTTTCATACATCAGCAAACAAGGCTTTCAGTGAACAAGCAAGCTGTTGTGGGTAGCAGCCATTCAGCAATAAGCAGTGGCAAGCACAAAATTAATCATATGCCAGTTTGGGGGGCTTTTCTTGCTTGTGGCCAGGCTTTCTCAAATGCGAAAAATGATTCCCTTCGCTTATAACTTACTGCAGCACCACAAGTCTGTCTTATTTGATATGAAATAGTTACCTTAAGTGAGGGCTATTACGGAATTCAGATCATACTGCATCTGCTGCAGGTGGGTTTCCTGATGCTGTTTATATGTTCATTATTAGAGACCCTTTGTGTTAAAGGGTAAATACCACTTTGCTTTTAAATACACTTTTAAAGAAGAAAATAGAATTTGTGTAATAGAATGGACCAGGAGAGGGAAGATTGATCATTCTGCATTTTTCCGAAGAGCTGACACTTGCACGCAGCATCTCTCTGGGGAGCCAGAGCCTTTTCCAAGAGCTCTGACTAAAGTGATTCCGTAAGAAAACGGTACTTTAAAAACAGTGTAAGGGGTACAAGGCTTAGAGGTGTGTAAGGTGATTTTCATACAATAAAGAACAAAGTAGCTTGCTAGGGTTCATCATCCAGCTTTGATCAGTATAGGACAAAGATGAAAAATTTGGGTGAAATCCTCACCTCATACAGACCGACACACAGAGAAAATCAGAAGAAGGAAGTGAAACAGCCCTGACAACCAACCATCAATAAGTTCTAGCACTTTGAGCCACAAGTGGAAACTTTTGGGAAGGCGAAATGTAGGTAAATTGTAACACTAACAAGATTAGAAGTGTAGAAATTGCCATCGCTGTGTCTAAGAGGACTTTGAGAAGCAGTAGTCTGCTGGCTAGTTTTAGGGGGGGAAAGGGGTCTTTTCAGCATATGTTGTGCAACTGTACAACAGTTGGTGTCCTGAAGCTAATGAGGAAAGATGGTATGTTTATAAATAATTATTTATTTATATTGTATATCTTATATCTCAGTCGAATTTCTTTTGGCTTCTTGCTTAGCTTCACCTCCTAAAACCTTAATTATTTAGCTTTTGGCAGTCAGTGTAGTTTTATGAAAATTGAGTCTTGACCTCAAGGTAATTCTGATGTTTCTTTGATATGTCAGAGGTTGATGGCTAAATAATGTAGATGTAAAACAGGTAGGTTGCTGTAAGGTATTTGATTTAATGCCACATGGTGGCTTTGCAGACATTGCAGAGACTTGGAAACTGGTTAAAAGCACAAAATAGTTGCTGTAAGAGTGCCTGAGTATTAGTGCAGTGTCATAGCCAAGAGGGCTGATAGGATTACTTTGTACAAGGCAGGTGAGTCTTGAGGGCTAGGCACTAATCTTAAAGGTAAGAGTGAAGCTTAGATGACACTTCGATGACACTGCTGTCTGTGCAGTTGCCAAATCCAGTCATAATGCCCAGAGGCCAAGAAGGATGATAGGGAAGGGTAAGAGAATACTCAGAGAGAAACAGCAGAAACCTTACCATAGCAGTAGAATTTGACTTCATCCATAATTTTTTTCTATTTCAAGAACAGAGAGCTGAAAATCTCAAGTTTAGCAGAGGAAGGGTGTAACTAGTAGTTGGATTTATTTTTTGTCCAATAAATGCTGAGTCCTCAGTCAGCCTCTGAGTTGTGTGTATCCCAGGTGATTGCTGGTGCTGTTGGATTTGTTAGATTTGTTTCAGGTGAGTTGATGAATCATCAGAACAGCTCCTTGGCTCTTCTGGTGGACTCTCTTTCACTAGGACTTTTAGAAAAGCATCTGTTCTGGATTCTGATTAAGATGTGTTCAATGTGTTGTTCTTAGAAAGCCTGCGTTGGGGATGGGACTCCACTGCTCGTTTGCAGCATAAGGCACACACTTCAGCATTTCTGCAGTGAGTCAGTTACACAATACCTTACCATGAGATAAAAAAAGAGGAGGGAAAAATTGTTGGTGATGAAAGTTTTGTGATTATGAATTCCTCAACGATAACATCTGTTGCTTTGCTTATTGTGGTGGGATTTTTAAATTTTAGTCTTTGATTTCTTTTATTTTCTTTTATATTTTAGAATAGTCCTTATCAGCAGCAGAAGATCCTTCTGTAGCATATTTTCAGTGCTGCCATATCGAGACTGTACCCAAGTCGGGTATGTATATTTATACATGTACTATGTAGTCTTTCTGGGCCTGCATGTAGAACTGAGTACAGATAACAGAATGTCAGAAGCTAATGCTTTTAAATATCTGCTCTGAGAAAAGATAAATGCATTTTAAAATGTTTGCACTGTGGGACATTACTAGGTTAAAATTGCAATTCTCACTTCCACTTGATTTATACGTGTTGTAGTATCTTTGTTTATTAAACTAGAGAGAACAACCCTGTCTCAATTTTATGTTCCTGAAATATCTGCAGCCTTTATTATTTCTTCTGACTTCACTCATCTTCGACCAAATAAGTACTGCAAACAGAACAACTTTGATTTTATAAGCAGTCCTAGCTTTCTGATTCTTCCACATAAATATGGTGCTACTCTATCTAGATTTCCAGTACTACTGGGAAATAACTGAGTCTGAACATAATAGCTTTTAATTGCACTGTAGTAATTGGTCAGATTATTCAGCTAGTAAAAAGACAGTTGTAGCAATGCTAGCTTTGTTTTGGCAATAGTGCTACACAAGTCCTTAGGAGCTGCAAGCAACTTCCATGGAACTTCCTTACATCCCTGGAAGGGCTGAAACCTCTGATAGATAAGATTGTTTGGATTGAAGCTGTTCTCTGAAGCTTTTTTTGTTCTTGCAATGAAACTGGAATCAGGGGGAAGTGTCATCTCAAAGGCTCTGGGGCACGACTGCAGAAGGGCAGCACAGGGCTGCAGCTCTGTGCCTCTGGGTCAGAGGGTTAAGGCCTGGCCTCCCCAGAGAGCTGAGAGTTGTCAGCAGTTAGTGTTGGCTCAGTGCCTGCAGACCCCAGCAAGTCTGGGGGAAATATTTGGCTGATACGGTGAGGTGGGTTTGAAAGACCCATAAATCACTTTGCATCAAGTTCATCCAGCTCATAGAAAATGAACTTGGCTCATATTTTTCAGTCACCTTTTAATTCTAGAGAGCTATTTACAACATCTACTCATGCATCAGTAATTCAAAAGAAGGGGAGATTATTTCTAATGCAAAAAGGAACGGAAGTACCTTTGTAGGAAAGTTGACTTGCTTTCCTGTGTCTTACAGGAAAGTTTTTCCCTTAATTAAGCAGGGATGACACATAAGGGAAATTCTTGACAGATTGGCAGCTTTGTTCATTCTTCTTTGGTGCACTGTCATTCATTTATGGTCATTTAGAAATTGCCTCTTTATTGAAAAGTGAATATATTTTGAAATGATGATGAGTGGTTATATCTTCAAAATTACACTCATAATGGAGCCAGCTGCAAGCCTAAATATTATTTCAACATGTAATGTCTTGTACCATGGTTACACAACAAGAAGGGATTGGGATGAGAAGGTAAAAAGTGCCAGTACACAGCAACCCAGCCCCATACCCTTTGTTAAAAAGCCAAGATGAAAAAAAAAATAAATGCTCCCTGACTTTCTTCCAGAGCATTAGAGGAAGAGAGAAACAATTAAGTGGCACCTCCTTCCAGGAACAGCTGGTGCTGTGAACAGATGAGGCACTATGTCATAAACTGTAGCCACTCTGTTCAGGCTGCACAGTAGTTGCTTACTACTACACACATTTTGGATGTGTGGTAGGAATGGGACACTGGTATCCTTTTGTAGTGATCCTTTAGTTTTGCTTTCTCTCTGGATTGCTGATGCATCTATCCTGACTGGCTTATTTTATGTGAACTTCCTTGACTAGCTGAGGAGAAGAAGCAAATAATTCCAGGGAATTTTGGACATCTCTGCTATTAAAACAGTGACCCTTGGAAGCAGGAGAGCAGGTTGGATGTTCATACAGGAGAGACTGTTCCATGTGGCAGGAGTATATGGCAGAGTGGCTGCTGCTTCTCCACCTCTGCTCCAACTTGTAGGCTCTGTGGCCTGCGAGGAGACCTCCTGGCACAGCTGTATTTGGGGATACTGCCAGCCCCCACTACTTCCGTAGGCAGCACAGAAGAGATCCACTGTATCAAGGCTGGCAGCTGAATTGCACTAACAGATCAATTTTAAAAGCTGCCTGAAAGGCAATTCTTGCCAACATAGCTAAATTCTGTGCTCTTGGCCAGGATGGATAGAACTTTGTGACCGCTTAGCAGCCATCTGCAGGTTATCCACCATATTATACAATGGCAAGAGCTCTCCGCAAGCTTTGTTCTTAAATGGCTGTGAAAATACAAATGAGTGTTTGGGGAGAAACATGAGAGGACTAAATTTGAGTTGTTCCTTGGAATATCTCTCTCAGATCCCCCTCCCCTGCAGCCAGCCAGGCAGCAGCAGGTTCACTGGAGTGTGGCTTCCAGCAGGATTCGGGAAGGAAGTGCACTGTAGAGCATAGCAGGCGTTGCCAGTGATGGATGGCAGATTTTGCTACCTGCTGTTTCAGAAGGCATGTTGGGTTGCACATGCTGGGGCTGATAGGGGAGGACACCATTTGCCTGGGAAATTATTTTCTTTATTTTTCTCTTTTGTTGAAGAGAGGCAAGTGTAAACCAAAAAGAGGTACTTTGGAGAGAAAGAAGTCATGAACAGTAGCAGTCACTAGAATTTTGTGCCCTCAGTTTTGTCTCTACTTTGGTGGAAAAGTGGAAAACTAATGCTCTAGCTTATAGTGGTTTTGTGCAAGAGGAAAGTGAGAATTAAAGATCCATCAAGGTTTTGAGATGCATTCTTGCTGCTGAAATCATTGAGAGATAAATACTTATGCAGATCTGTTCTATAATGTCTCCTCTTCAGGTCTGGTTACTGTAAGGTTGCCCACATCTTTGTGGGTGGTGTGATGGCAGGCACAGCTTCACCTGTCTGCATGATCAAGAGTCGAGTAATGAGCTTAACTCCCATTTAGTCTGCCAGAGTAGCTGCAAGAGCAGGCATAGCCACATTACAGAGCCTGTCAGCAACTGAAAGAAGCAGAAGTCTTGCCTGCTGCCCTCCCTTGCCCCCAAAGACCTACAGTGTTACAGCCCTAAGTTGGCAGACCCTGTGGACTGCTAAATGGTAGATAAGAGCCGTGATGGGAGAGCTGCCCCAGAATGACTGCACTGTTACAGCAGTATTGTCTTACTGAATTAGCAGACACACAAACGATGGTTAGCGACCAGTCTGCAGAAGCCTGCATTAATAGCAGCACCAGTAAGACTGGTTGAATGCTTGGCTTTGATTATGTTTTTATGAAATACAAGGTCATTGTTTGGTGCACAGGTAAGTGGTAAGGCAGTTGAAGGACTGCCAATAGTACTGCAGATTTGCATGTGCAGTTGCTATGTTTCAATGTACTCAAGATCTTCATGGCTAAGAGTATTATTCATAATCTGTACTTTTTCTGCTGAGCAGATTTTTCTGCTTACCTGGGAAACATGTACTGTTACCACACTGGGATGTGTGGAGTACTTAGAAATAGTACTTAGAAATTTAGAGAATCGTGTGTAATGTGATATTAATACTTCATGTTCCTTTTCTTAACTAAATGCAACACTGAAAATGATGGAAGAACTGCTTTGCAATGAGTATTGGAACTGGAGTTCTAGCTCAACATCCCTTTATTCTCCCTAGAGGGAGAGGAGAATCAGTTCCTGGATACTTCTGCAGGCTGGCAGAAAAGGGAATTAATGACAGTTATCAGAGGTGTGCCTTGTGCCACTCCTGAGCTGCTGTGGTGCACACCTCCTTTGTCAGTGGTGAGTGGTTGCAGTGGCAGCTCAGAGCAAATGGAGTTGAACTCTGGTGCTTCCTCTTCCAGCACCCATGCAATGCAAAGATGTTCTGTCCAGTTCTCTGTCCAGCAGTCCAGTTCTCATTCCTATTTTAAATTGCCTGAGCACTTTCAAAAAGGGGGGTGGTAAGGTTATGTGTGTTATTATTAGCAATGTTACAGAGAATTAAAAAGGTATCATATTTTTCCCCCCAGGAAAAAATGTAGCAGTTAGTTGGTTTTATAGTTCTGTTGCTTTAAATTGTTTTTCCTTTGGCACACCTCCTTATAGCTTACAGTTTAAAAACATGTTTTGAAAAGGGGCTTTTTAGGCTTGTTTTTGTTAGTGGCAAAAACTAAGCATTCATTTTCATTCACACATTGAAATCATAACTATTGTAGTATTTTAGTTTGTGATGTTACAATAGCCTTTTAAGAGCTTCCAGGTTTCTCTAAAGGTCTGTCCAGAAGATGAATGTGAAGGAGCTGGGGGAGGAGTGGAGCTGGCAGTGTCATGCAGATTCAGCTGACTTTGCATCCAGCTATCAGCTGGGGTCAAAATGAATGCCTGTCATTGGGACCAGAGGTGATGAGCTAATGTACAGAAAAATCCAGAGCATTAGATAGTGTCCTTATAAAAACAGCCAGTTCACCTCATGTTTATTCTCTGTGGCATTGAATTCATTAAGGGGTTAGAAAGTTACCCTGCTGTAGGTATAGCTGCTGAATATTGCTCTCTGGTAGCAGTATAGGAGTTTATCTGACTAAGCCTGCCTCCAGTTAAAGAAAATAATGCAGTGTGAGTAATCAAATGGATTGAAGCACAGAAAATTGATCATTTTTCTGAAGTAAAACATTAAGTTGTTAGATAAAAAGAATGTATTGTTCTCAGAAATGCTGCAGACGAGTTTCATCTAGTTTCTAAAGATAGATCACTGTTGAATTTTACTTTGTCTCTGGAAGGCCTGGCAGGATTGCTGATGAGTTCAGTGATGCTGAAAGCAAGAAGTTTTCAATACAGTCATCCCAAGTCACATGTGGCCACAGTGACCAATGAGCCCATAGGCCTGGCATTCCATTCCAAAGGGTTTCATTATCTAAATTCCAATATCTTTGTCTTTCTTCAGTGTTCTAACTGCATAAGAAAGTTGTATGCAAAATGAGGCGAAAAAACCCATTTTAGATGAGTTTGCCTCAGACTGCACTCCTGCAGTCAGTTGCTTTGGCAGATCAGCCAGAAACCATTGCTGTGATTGCAGCAAACAGAAACATTTACTGGAGAAATGAGAGCTTCTAAATTGCCATCAGTATAGCAGACATAAGCTCATAGCAAAGCAGCATACTTTCTTACATCCTATAAGCTTATTACCAAGTTCCTTGCCAGTTTTTGTATGAGAGGCAGTTTTTTTTTTCCTTGCTTCTACCCAGCTGAATGAAACCAAAACCAAGTACGTATTAGCATTACAGAAAGACAAAGAAAATTTCTTCCCCCTGCCCCCAGCACAACATGACATTTTAAAATTAATTGCATAGGTGAATTTTACAGAGCTACCATTGCTCATTTTTATGAGGTTCCCTGTTTCCTCAGATTGAAAATAAGCAACGAATCCCAAAAGCTTAAGGTTTAAGTTTTGAACTTTTACTCCATGTTGGGCAGAATATCAAGACAAAGATCTGACACCTGAATATGTCTGAAGAGAGAAAAGGATGCTGGCCCCTTAGAGCAGTCATTCCATGACTTTCTCCACCTCCTTTCCCTATATATGGCATCTTGAGATGTCGTTCTAGCAACACTAATGGCAGTTAGGATCTAAAAACTCTCAACCCTTTAAACCTGTCAATCCCAGTTAGTGGAAACTGTGCTTTTGGGCTGGCTGGCAGCACATCTTTTCCAAAGTTGTCATTGTCTTCATCCATGTAAACAGAGACAATAAGTAGAAATTATTTACAGTGAAGGATGAGAGCAGTATTTTTTACTAACATCTTGTGAACTGCCCTTCCTTATGGAATGAATCTGAGCAGTCAGGAATCACTGAGCATAAAATATAAACACAAAAGGCTTACATCTCTAAGTAACAATTATCAGATTCCCTTTGCAATAGGTAGAAGGCTTTTTCATGCATCTATAAATCTATTTAATATTTAATAGGCTCCTGAATTATTCACAGATTAAAGTGTTCAACTGTTGCTGTCATTTAAAGAGCAAGTGCCCAGCAGGACTCCTGCCTGGAGCTTTACAGATCACGTCAAATCAGAATGTTTGATTCATTACAGAAATATTATACTTCCAAAAGTAATACTGTCTAATTTGTATTCTGTTAATCCTTGCCTGACTAATAAAACACAAAGGCTAAGAATTCCTGTTTTGATTCTTACTTGCCTGTTCAATAAGACTTTTTACCATCCCACAGTAAATTTGGATTCACAGGTTCTGTTCCTGGAGAATCTCTGAGGTGGAGAAATTGCTTTTCTTTTTTTTCCTCCTACCTGGGATAACTGCAGCAATGTGCTTTGTTTTGAGTGTGGTTTCTAACATTGCTCACCAGCTCACTTTCTGGAAATGGTGCGCACATATAGAACACCGTAATTTACGTAAATCAGGATAACTCCCCGAATGCTGTCAAAAACTGGGCTGGTCTTGTGATTTCTTTTCATTTTCCCTGCTCAAATAAAGTGAAGGTAGTCACTGGGTTCCTGTTATTTATTTTAACTTCACAATATCTACTTGAATCCCTGGAAAACTTTGTGAAAAAGCACTTTTGGAAAACAAACCACAGGAAAACTGAAAATGAGGAAGAGAAGGAAGGAAGTTTTCTTCACTTAAAAGCTTATTTGGCAAGGACTGTCTTTCCTACTCTGCATTTTGCAAACAGCTCTTACTACTGCACATTGGTTTGTGCAGTTCCTCAGTGCCAGTGATAATCTAAATATCTTAAACATAGAGAAAGCTTACTGGTTTTTTTTGTTGTTTTTTTTTTTCAAGTGTTGATTCTCTGTGTTCTCCCCTGTGTGGGGGCTGTTGCCCATGGTGCCATGGAAGGGGCCCCTGTCCCAAAGATCTTGGTGTTGGTGGTTTGCTGTGCTTACGTATTGGTGATCCCAGAACAACCATCCTACTCATTTCCTAGGCATGGTTCACCTGTTTTGCAGCAAGCAAAGTAGAGGCATTTTCTGCTTTCCTAGTTTCTTTTGGGATTTGGAAGGCTTGGTGAGGAAGAGGCTGTGCTGGGCCAGCATCAGGACTGCAGCGCCTGGGTGGGGAAGCTCCTACAGCACTCTTGGGACGGTAGCTTGCTTTTACCCACCAAAATATCAATAACCTGCTTTAATTTAGATTCCAGAAAGGTTTTTTTTATTATTATTTTATTTAGCTGGCAGAGTCATAGGTATCCAATTTGAGCTTTGCTGAGGCATTCGTGAAGTTTTCTGTAGTAGGAGTGAGAAGAAAGGTGATGGCTCTCCCAGTAGGAACTTCATTAGCTTATTGTTAATCTTAGTAATCGGGAACTCAAAAAAGATTAACTGAAGTCACCTAGGAATCTCATATCAAGTATTTGCCAGGATCTTCTATGAGTAGGAGCATAAGTTGGGATGATCCTTTCCATGTGTACAGTGGTAAGAAACTGTGCTATTTTGCACTGATTTTCCTCAAGAGAATGAGTTGAATTCTCAGTTTTATGGACAAGTATCTCTGCAAAGAGTAACACTTTCAACATAAGCAATCTTATGCTACATAAAAATAAAGAGCATGTAAAGGAAGAGAAGACTCTTACAAGCCCTTGCAAAACACTTAGGATGAGGGAGAATTATTGCAGTGTTGCTTATTGCAACACTGGTCCTGAAGGTAGAGGCTTCTTTTAGAAACATCAGAAAGATGTGAAAAGTTGAGACACTAATCTTCATTGATCTCATGCTAATGTCCAGGAGTAATTCCTCTGCATTCTCACACTTGCAGCTGACCCTGATCTCTGCTCCCAGAGAACTGATTTCATTTAAGTCCCCAGAGCCTCTCTGGTTTTGAAAAGCTGCTCCGCTGACTCCTTAAACGATTCCAGATTTTTGTTGGGTACATTAACAAAGCTATCAAGCCTTCTCTGTTAATTGCATGGAGAGTTTTCTCTGTGACTTGCTTTGAAAGTTATAACAGCATTATTTCTTCCTCATTATCTTTGTGGAAGGAACCTAAGCTATTCTGATATTACTAAAGATAATTCAGATTTTTGTTTTGTTGTTCTGGGGGCTTCCTCAAATTGTGTGTTTGTTTCATAGATAAGACCTATTGCTGTTTAGCATGTGTTTCTAGAAGATGTAGTTCCTTTAAGCATGTTCTGCCCAAGAACAGAGAGGCTAATCTGATGCCTCTGACAAAAGGTTATTTTTACAACATTATTGTGCAGCCTCTCAGTAATATGGTATCAGGAAGCAAAATGATAACATGACATGCATGAACTGAAGCTCAAGCAGTGAGTTAACAGAGCTTGGTTTGGATTAAAACATGGATATAGTGTTTACTTTTGCCTTAGAGGTATGTTTTCCAGCAAATAGGTGCATTGGATTTTTATAGAAGCAAGATATGTAACTTACTGGGAACTCACTGGTTGTCAGTTTTTAGAGAAATAAAAAGAGTGACTACTTGTGAAGACAAGGAAGCAGGGTGTGCAAAGAAAATGCAGGAATGAACCCAGGGCAGCAGTCAGATGAAGAGCCTTTTCCGAGCTTCAGTGTCAGCATCTTTCCCCTTTTGGTTTTTAAGCACAGGTTGGAAGGGACCTCAAGGATCATGAATCTCCAACCCCCCTGCCACATGCAGGGCCACCAACCTCCTTGTTTAATGCTAAACCAGGCTGCCCAGGGCCCCATCCAACCTGGCTTTGAACACCTCAAGGACGGGGCATCCACAACCTCTCTGGGCAGCCTGTTCCAGTACCTCACCACTCTCTGGGCAAAGAACTTCCCCCTGATGTCCGATCTAAATCTCCCCTCCCTCAACTTAAAACCATTTCCCCTCGTCCTACACATATCAACCCTTTCAAAGAGTTGATTCCCCTCCCCTCTGTAGGCTCCCTTTAGGTATTGAAAGGCTGCAATGAGGTTACCCTGCAGCCTTCTTTTCTCAAGGCTGAACAAGCCCAGCTCCCTCAGCCTGTCCTCACAGGGGAGGTGTTCCAGCCCCCTGATCATCCTAGTGGCCCTTCTCTGGACCCTCTCCAACAGCTCCCTGTCTTTTTTGTACTGTGGGCTCTTTGTACTTCTCTGTGTTACAGCGTAGGGTCACTTGGCATGTATTTTAGAAGCATCAGACTATTATGATACATGTCTAGACTATTGGATGTCATCTGAAACTGATAGGACTTGCAGTTCCCTGTCAGTGCTGTGCTGTGTCAAGTGTTCCCAGTGATGAGGAAAGGTTTTGCAGCGTAAGTAGAATCTGATGTGCAACTAGGAGCGACGTAGGCTTTTGCTGTAACGTATTGTAGGCAACACAGTCTTGCCTGTAGAAATTGTCTGGTCTGTGCTTTGCGTTAATACATTTGAATTAATGGTACCTTCTTCCAGCAATGCATTGTGAAAAGTAAATAAGAGGTGTGTACTAAGAACTGTTTCTGCTCTGGTTTCTGTTCCCTAGGGACATGAAGTTGGATGGTGGACGCCAGTGCCATTCTACTGGAGTGTGTCTGAAAGAGATCATTGGTCTTGAAGGTGTGGAGCTCGGAGCAGACGGGAAGGTGGGGATGCTTCAGTTCCTACTTTGTTAGATTTTGTGTAGTAAGGAAAAAATAGGGCATAACTAACAACAAGCACAAATGTAAAAATAAATTACAACGTGTGGCATAACAGAGTAGATAAAGCACAGTATGTACAAACTGTAAATAAGACCAGCAGAAATTCAGAAAGTGTCAGTGCCCTAGCTGTCAGTGCTAACAACTTTGCTGATGAAATCTGCCTCTGGCATTGTCTAAGTCTGTAGAGCATTACTGAATTGCTCGGTGTTCCCTTAGCCTCGCAGGAGAAGCCAGTGCAGAGTATGTTGTTAGGAGCTTGAAAATAATATCTGGTGATAGCTGTAAGCTGTAATTCTGTTTGCTTTCAATTTTATTTAATAAAACAGATCTTACTTAACATAATCATTTCTCCGAAGGAGCAGGACGACACTAGAGTAAACTGGATGAGTTTGTCAAAATCCTAGTGTGTGTTCATTAGAATAGAATAAGTTATTAATGAATCTTTAGGGAAAATTGATCCATTTAAAACAAATCTATAGAGGAAAGATAATTTTAATTGTATATGAATTTTTATTTTTTTGATTTTTTTTTTTTCTGAAAACCTGATTTACTTCTGATGGTTTTGTTTATCCAGCCTGCTGACATTTCTGGATTTAAAGGCACTAGGTCAGTGCTGCTGCACATGATGTGCTCACCTAACCAAGTTACAGTCCAGACCTCAGACTGTAAATTCTTGAGGACAGTCTGTCTGCTTATAAGTAAATTAAGGCTCACATGTTTTATTTGATACCTGTTCTGACCTCCTCATAAACTAGTCTGGAGTCTGAGACTCATTTTTTCCTTCCTTTTAATGTTTTTTTTTTGTTGTTGTTGTTAAATCTAGAAGCAAGGTCTGTTACTGGCCAAGAGTGCAAGCAGGGAATTGGTTCACTTTAAAATTAATTTTATTGCACGTTATTCATTTACATGGAGTCCATGCTGGAAGTCTAGGAAGTGAATGGTCTGTAACCATTGCTGTAAGCTGGTAGCTCACTTATGACACCAGTAATACTTTACCAGACCAAATCCTGAAAGACAAAAGTACCAGAGAAAGTACTTAAGTTAAGAGGTGTTCAAGTGATTTCCCTCTGGCTGATGTGTGCTGAGGGACCCATATAGCAGAATGCTATTTCAGTTTAAAAAAAAAAGTAGCTGAAGTCTGCTACAGAGAAGGCCGAGTGGAAGAAAGTCATATTTGTAAATCTGACCCTTGAGTAGGATTTTGGAAATCCAGTTTATTAGAGCTTGTGTATGTGTGTTTATGGTTTTGTTTTGTTGAAGAATTAATGCATTTGCAAAAGATTTTTTGCATGGATAAACTGACTACACTGAAGCACGTGTAGGTGATGTGTTAATTCATCCGTGCCTAACTATTAAACCAGAAAGTCTTTTGCTAATTTAGCTTCCCTTGCTTCTAACTGAAGTGCACGAAAGGGATCCTGCTCAGCTGAGCTGACAGTAAATCTGTCTATTCTGACTTTCTTTTTAGACTGTTTCGTATACACAGTTCCTGTTTCCAACCAACGCTCTAGGAACTCGGAGGAACACAATAGACTCCACCTCATCCTTCTCCCAGTTTCGCAATGCAAGCCATCGTAGCCTTTCTTTGGCAAGAGCTAACAGCACCCAGGGCAGCATCGATGCAGGTAACTTACCAAGAAGCTTGTTTTAATATATTTGCATACTCTGGCAATAGAGAATTAATTATAGTGAAGGATTTTTGGTGGAGAGACACTTTGTCTCTGCCAGTCACTTTTGTGCTCAAATTAAGCAAGATACGGTCCCATGCAGTAAGTAACATAAAGCTCAGAATGCCTTTCTCCTTGCTTGTTCCCTTTTATTCAGCAAAGCTGGCTTTGGATCATGGAAAGTTGAGTAAACACAATCACTGGTTCTGTGTCATACTGCCAGCCACTGATCCTGCTCAGCATGCCTCCTTGGGTGCCTTCCTTCCACAAAAGGCTCATCACCTTCGTTTGCTGTGGAAAATACACAATGGCAACACGATAGTCATAAGCTGAAGGTGTAAATCATACTTTTGACCTTTATTAGACTGGAAGGGGCTGTGTTTACAAAATTAGGCACAAAATGTATGCCAAAGCACTGTGTGCTTAAGATACTTCAGCATGTTAAATGAAACAAATCAAAACATCTCCATAAACAGATGAGAACTTGTTGCTGGGAATAAAATTCAACAAAACTTCCCCACTGACTTTCCTCTCACCTGAGCATGGCAGGGTACATGGGACTACATTTGTTTGCAGACTTTTGGCCTGCGGCTTCATTACGGAACTTAAAATAATTGTGCAGTTCTCTAAGCCCTAAGTTCATATTTATCAGATAATTAATTAGCTTTCGGTCCCCTGTATCTTTGCAAGTTGTGTTACACATTATTGAAGTATTTAGAGTTGATAACATATACAGAACTTTTTTACTCTTTCATACATCCCACATGAAGATCATTTTGTGCATTACCAAGTCCACAGTTTGCCATTAACATTGCATCTAGAGATTTCTTGGTATAATTAATCCCTTTGTTATTTTTACTGTTGTTTTATAGGCAGTGACCTGGGAGACTATGTTGAATACGACCCAAATCTTTTAGATGATCCCCAGTGGCCATGTGGCAAACATAAGCGGGTTTTAATATTTCCTTCATATATGGTAAGTGATATGTAAAACTGGCTGTAACATAGGTAACAGTATTTAGAACACTGAGGTTGCATTTGGCTGCATTTTAAGAAGATTATTATTATTTTTAATCTACTAATAACGGCTGTTTGAAATGCTTTGTTCTAACTGACAGTTACTTACCGGGACATGTAAAAACAAACTTGTGGAGGTATTACAACAGTAAATGGTTTTGTTACTGCTGTATTTCATAAATGTTTCAGATGAAAGGCTTGTTGAACAAAGCATTCATTCTCTCTCACACAGAGGAAAATTTATACTTCCTCTGACTGGCATCTATTACAAAATAGCAGAATGCCCATTAGGATTTTTCCAAAGACTTTAAACTGCATTGTATTTTGATGCTTATCATTCCCTCATCAGAATAGAACCTCGGTGTCTTGTATAGCCTATGTTTCCCAGGTATTTATTTCATCATGGGATAGTCCTTCCTTTCAATGCAGCAATTATCAGCAGAATATGTATGTTTTCCACCATATCCAAAGTTGTAATGCAGCAGGCTCATAACTGTTCCTTGATCTCTGCTCTAACTCAGTGTTCTCTGTGGTGAGAGATTTCTGTAGCCTTTTTGCAGTTGCACCAACTTGGTAGAATTTGGTATGCTATTTTGGCAGTAATGTTGCAAGGTGTGGTGCAGTTGATGCACATGTGCACATATCTATCTGAATTAGACATCCAAAGCAGAATTAGGCAGTGGGGAAAAGCTAGTTATCTTTTTTTTTTTTCTTTCTTTCTAACAGTGGTTACTATTGCTCTTACCAATATACAAATAGGATAGGATTTGAAATATTGCAGTCTGAAGCGTTGTTCACATTCTCACTTGGAACAAAGAAACTGCTGATGCTTTTAAAGATACAGTCTTTGCAGGATCCCTTCTGCCCCCCAACTGGTCTTTACTTGATAATAGTATTGCTAGGTGCACCTTCTCAAACATAAATGTTTTTTATATGCGTCACATAGATCTCCTTGTTCTGCCTATTGCACAGAAAGGCTTCATTGAGCTCTGAGGGTACTTCTGGAATAAAATCCAAGTGAGAAGTTCAGTCAGTTCTCAGCTTTCAGCCAGTTTTACTTTTAAGGTTGTCAACTTACGTTTGGCTGGCAACCCACAAACTGTCATCCTTTTTGTTAGCTGCATCTGGATGAGAAGATATTTGTTAGATTTTAATATGGTTATTGTCATGGACAGGGAGCAGTCTTCCATCAAACAGAAAAATGTTGTTAACTGGCATCTAAAATGAACGTAGTTTAGCAGTCATGGTTGTGTTTCCAACCTTCTTAAGGCTGGAGGCCAGTCTGAGTCCTCTAGGTCACCCAAAGTTTTTGAGGCTGTCTCTACTTGTCTTGAGGCAGACATGGTTGAGTATGTGGGTGCCCTCCTTTTACATACACTGGTAAACCACAACATTTTGAGGTCTCTGACTGTGCTTGTATTGCGGTAAGCTGGGGCTTTCCCCTGTGAGAGAGGTATAACTGAATACATTCATGGTGAAAAATGGTCTTCAAGGATGACTATTAATGACATTGTCATTGTTTGTTCCTTCTCTGAAGGAAGGCACTGATCTAAGAACAGACAAAAGGAAATTAAGAGCTGTGTTTCTTTTGATGGTGAGAATAGCTGGCACGAGCCAAGAGCTCTCTTGTCTAAGATCCAAGATTTTGCTGTGATGCAACACAGGAGCTTGACAAGGAACCAAAGAGCGGGTGTTTGTTCTTCAGTGCTTGGCTGAGGGATTTCACAAGTGGCTGCCGCTTCCTTCATTGAGAGAAGGGAGGAAAGGTCATGCTGGAGTGTCCTGGAAGCCTGCAGGTTTAAACAGGCTTTGGCAGCTGAGTTGGTCTGTATTGTGTCCATCTTACGCTTTCTGGGCTCAGCTGGTGTTGCCACTCCCTGCGGTTCACATTCGTGTGAATAGGAGCATAACAAGCTGTAATTTCAAGGCATTTTCTTTAGCAGATATGAAAACATTCTGTGAAATGACCACAGCATTGTCATCCTGCTGTACAGACCTCCAATGTGGGCCCAAGTGGAACAGTGCTTCAGCTACTGCCACCCCTGAGTACTCGAGCAGCTGAGAGTGGCTCCAGTGTCAGCACTGTGTGTGGAGAGCTGCAGTTTGTAATTGAAGTTTCAGTTCTTGGCCAGCATTTAGCATTAATGTTTGGCAGCTGCAAGCTGTTGAGTTTTCCCCCTCCTCGTAGTTGTCAGAGCAATTAGCAGAGGAAGGTGAGTGATGAGGATATGAACAAACAGTGTTTTAGATGCTGTGCTGCAACAGATTTGCATGGTGCTGCTGGCTGTAGAATCACTGAATGCACAGATAGGGCACCTGAGAACCCACCATCTGCTTGCAGGCCAGGATTGCTCCTCTGCTACAACACTACTGAGATTTACATGAATTCTGCTTGCATAAGTACTGCAGGCTTTTTCCCCAGGCATAAGACAGACAAAATGTGTGGTCCTGCTTGGCTTCTAGTCTGAAATAAGTGCAGTTAGCACTTGAGCCTATGAGACATGCTGCTCCCTCCAGTTTTGTGGAACCTGAGGTTATTATCACTCGCATTGGCCTTATGGTCAGCAGAATTAGTGCCAATTTGCAGAGCACTGCAAGTCCTCAGCTAGTTCCCAGGAATAGCAGAGCTTCCTCTTTGAAGATAGTTGTGGGGAAGGAAAAGTGCTTCTGGATCAGTCTTTTTTATTTTGTGCAGCGAAGTTCCTGGCTTTAAAGGCTGTACACTTCCCTCTTGCATTTCTAAAAGTGATGCCTAAACACTGCCTGATGGACAAATCAGAAAAGGCAGTTTAAATAAATGTCCAGCACAAACCCCACCTCTTCTGTTAATTGCATTAGTCATATGTAAATTCTAGTCTACCCCAGAGAAATTAGTTCCCTTTATACTGTCTTTGTAGGAGAGTTGACAATCTCTGCTGCAGTATAAACAGTAAGAGGTGGAAGAATTCATGCTGGGGGAGGCGGGGGGAGGGAAACATCATGTCATGGCTAACAGATGTCTTCCTGGCTGATACTGCTGAAGCAGGAATTCTTGCAGATCCTTAAATCTCCCTTGAATAGGAACTTTCACCAGCGACCAGGCAGAACAGTGACTTCTTCACTAGTGTCTCACATTGACCAGTGTGCAGCCAGGTTCTGCAGTGTCTCCCTGCTCATCCTGCGTTCTTGTGAGCAGAAGGAAACACTTTCTGTGCAGGGAGTGAATACTCACTCTGCAGTGTGGATGAGGCCAACTTCCAAGCTCTGGTTCTGTTGCTAATACAAGAGCACAGGAGTGTGTTCACATGGCTGCTCTCTGCTGCCAGGACTTGCAGGAAAAGAGGAAAAGCCCAGATCAGTAGCAGTTTGACTTTGAGTGACCCTTTTGTAACAACATCCCTGCAATATCCATCTATCTGTGCCCAAGGGATAAACCTGAAATCAGGTTTTGGTCCTTAATGACAGTTCCCGTGTATTGGTTTAATTATATCAAAACAAATTGACAGCTATACACTGCTGATTAAAGAAAAAAATGTGTTGCATAAGGCTGTAGGGCTCTTGCAGCAGGCTGGCCATCACCTTGCATCTGCCAAGTGAAGAACCAGTGTCAAGCATAACTAGGCTGCATTATTAGATACTGGTCTTCCAGTGTGGTTTTAAAATTAGAACTGCTCACTGTTCTGTGCATGTGGGCTGATGAAAGCCCTGCATGATGCTGGAGTGCATTCAGCCTCTCGCTCCTCGTTGCTGTCTTTCACAGGGAGCACCAAGGTCAGAACTACTCCACTTGCAGGCTGTGGCCTTTGGCATTGGCACCGTATTCTTCAAGCTGCTTCTGTAGATATAAATTAAACATCTACAGATTGCTTTCTTATCAGCTGCTGGCTTCGTACCCAAAAGTCTCAGGGAGCAGAGAATTGCAGTGGTGGTATATATTCATAGTTAAAGCCAGTGCTGTATGGATTTGATGCTATATTTGGCTGAGGCTCCAGTAAGCATGTATTTTGTAACAATGGAACACTGTATTAAATGAGAACGATTTCAGGGTGTTAACAGAATAAAATAAGCTGGCATCCTTATATGCACTCAGACAGAGAGTTTTCAGATGGTTTGCCTTGTGAAATTGTAAATATTTCAGTTTAAGGTCATTGAAAGTTAGTAACTTTTTAACAATAGAAACATCTTCTAGTCTTCCTTTTCCTTTTTTGTGTAGTTATTATTACCATTATAAAGGAATGACTCCTATTTTCCATGACTGTTCTAAGCTTCTGCTCTAGCAGGATTTCCCGTATATATGCATACTTAGCCACCTCCATATACACTGAGTAACAGACAGTTCACAGCTACATAGCTCATGCTATATACCCTAAGGCAGTACACAGTCACTGACTTCTCTGCTGTGTGGTTGAGAACTGTGCTACTGACAGTCTGCTTAAACCTGATGGACTTGTGTCTGCTCTCCACGGACTGCATTTATCACAGGTCCAAGGTAAGGCAGCTGAAGTTATTTTATAACTTCCATTTATTCACCTATTTTATTCTGATCATACCTTTCTTAAGGGGAAGGTAGAGGCACCCAAGTCTAGGTCATCTTTTACTGGTAGCATGCCAAAGTAGGGTTTATTTTCAACGCTATTTCATCCTGCCAGTCTTTCCAACCATTTCAGGCATCCTTCCTCCTCCTGCATTTAGGAAACTATATATACAGCTTTCCTGTGAGAAAGCAGCTGCTTGAAAACGCGTGTGAATAACACAGAAGCTAACCTCCAAGTTCAAAACTGCCAGCCATGCAAAAAGTGTGCAGAGCAGAGCCCTCAGCCCAAGCATTCATCATGTTGTCCAGGCATCTGTCAGCCGCCATCTATCAAAGCTTTCATTTGTCTTGTGCAACTCCCGTCACCAAACTAAAATATACATCTGCAGATTTGTATACAGAGAACGTGAACAGAGCTCACAGAGGAGTATTTCTGAATACTAAAGTGAAATTTATTTCGTGCGAGCAAGCTGTGAGAAACAAGACAGACGAGCCTGGATGACAGAAGTTACAAACATGGGAGATTAGAGTGCTGGGGAGAAGGGTGGGTCATTCCCACTACAGTGCTGGTGTATGTGACAGCCCTGGCAATGCAGATGCCTCACTGTTAGGGAGTAGTGTTCTCTATGAGAACATTTAGATAGAAAAATGTCATGCTCCTTTTAGAGTGTTTGCGACCCCCTGATAAAATTTGGAGCGTCAGTATTGTACAGTGCTGCTGTACAGACAATACCAGAGCTGTTCCAGACAGACAGAACTCTGCTTTGCTTGCAGTGATGTCTTTTTGACACAGCAACTTTGTTTGTGACTGCCAAGCAGCCCAAGAGAAATAAAATTCTAAAGCAGAGAAGAGAAAAGGAAGAGGAAATGCTGAGCAGGAGAAAAGGTGGCAAACAGAAAGGTCAGAGCACTCCCGTTTCTACAGTAAGATCCCAGCTGGCCCTTGTGGGTCATTAGGACACCCTGGCCATGCTTCTGACCTTGTGCGTGCACTGAGGTTTCCTCCAGCCCTTTCCTACTCCATGGAAGGGTCAGTGCTGAGCAGTCGCTCAGCAGTGTGCAAGCTGTGCCTGGGGGAAAGGACAGACAGAGGATACTTGAACAGGTGAGGGGGGAGCTGGGGCTGGGATTTCTCCACAGCCTCGTAGATGCACAGTGTGGCAGCGAGAACGCTGCCCCTCTGATGGGCAGCATCCCAAATTTGTCATTTCTGTTGGCATCAGCTGGACAAGGGACAAGTCAGGCTTCTGCAGCAGCTATCCAAAAAATCATGGGAAAAAAGAAAAGAAGTTGTGCAATTCCTTTTCCCGAGAATAAGGACAGTTAGTTGGGCTTTCCAGTATGGCACTGACAAGATGAGACAGCTGCCTTAGAACCAGTGTGTTCAAACATGCTGCTGTTATCCTGTTACATGAATCAAAACCAGCACACACTGGCTTTCATCTGGATTTCATTATTGTGATTTATATCGTAGAGACTGTTGTCTAGCAGGAAGCAGCAGTATTCAGAGTTGGAGGGGGAGATCCTTATCGCAGATCCTTATCACTGGCACAAAATTGACGAATCTCTGTGTTTAAAAATAGTTGTACCTCCTTTCCATTTTCAGCTTTAAGCTGTCTGCTTATTCTCAAGCCTCTGAATGTTTTACTTTACATATTTTTTTTTAAAAAAAAGAACTTTTTTTTTTTAACAAAGATTTAAATACAGGTAGTCCTCTTGGCAGTCGACCGGGTCAGAGAACTCCCTGGTAAAAGCAGAGAAGTGGGTAAGGTACCCATGAGACAGCTGCAGGATCACATATGAGACTCGTCATAGAATGGCTTAGGTTGGAAGGCAACTCAAAGCCCACCCAGTCCCACCCTGTGCCATGGGCAGGGCTCCATCCAACCTGGTCTTGAGTGCCTCTAGGGATGGGGCACCACAGCTTACATGGGCAGCTGTGCCAGCGCCTCACCAACCTCGAGTGAAGAATTTCTTCCCGACATCTAACCCAAATCTGCTGTCTTTTAGTTTAAAGCCGTTCTCCTTTGTCCTATCATTGTCTTCCCATGTAAAAAGTACATGCTAGAAGTGGAAGCAAGCACAGCCTGCTGGCCAGCGTAACCTGCATACAGCCCTCCAGCTGGCTCTGCAGCGTGCCTGGGCCCTCTCTCTGCGAGGTAGTTTCTGTCCTGCACAGCCAATCCATGCTATTTGATGTTCTCTGTACAGGAGGAAATGATCACCTGGAAAGTGCCAAGAGCAGGTCTGCCAGAAAAACCCATGGTGGCTTTGTGGGAGATAACTAAGATAAAACTAAGGAGCTTTGTGGTAACAGAGAGCAAGCAACGCTTAGTTAGGTTTGCAATGAAGCTTGGAACAAGGCGTGGTATAGCTTTGCAAAGTAGCACCAAGCTCATTCTTTCCAAGCTTGCCCAAGACAACCAAAAATTCTGAGAGTATATAAAATAAACTTTGGACTTAGTAGCGGGGGTAGCCTTGCTATACTTAGTAATCTTTTGAATCTGTAAATAAGTGAGTGAGGCTTGGACCCACATTTCTGTATTTCAAGTAGCAAATAGTGCTGATCTAATTTATAACTTTATATGTAGAGAGCTCTATAGCTTTTCACAATAGTCCTCTTACAGCAGTATTAGAAGGATTCCTGTAGTATCACTAAAACTCCCAGCATGTCTATGCAAGCATCAGAAGCACACAACTGCTGATGGTCATCTTGAGGGAAAAAAAAGAGACAAGGAGTAGGCAAGTAGGAAACAAAGTCCCATGGAAAGAAATGAGAGAGGTAATCAGTAAGAGTTTGTTCTTCAGTTGCTGAGGGCTGAGTCCTGCAGGCCTGCAGCAAGGCCTCCTACAATCAGGTGGCTGTGCATTCAGCCAAATCCACACTTTCTTCTGCCTTCAGCAGGCCTGGCCACAGGCAGACCCATACAGCCAGGTGATGCTTTTCTCTTCTAGCCCAAACAGGGCAGAGTTTCTCTGCTCCATCTTTACCTTTCTTTTTATTCAAGCATGGCAGCAAGCTGCCTGCCTCAGCCTGAAGACAGAATGTGGATCACTGTGGGGACTGCCTGGGCCTGTGCTCTGGCTCATACATGCACGTGCAGGGCAACAGAGCTGGCTATAGAAGGTTGTCGTGGCATTCTCCTTTTTGATGATTTCTTATAACTGGCAGCTCTCCTTCATTGGGCAGAATTTTGTAATAAATCATCCTCTTTATTGAGAAAAATTTGGATTGGTGCTTAGGATGTAACTGCGTCAGAGGGGGCTTGCAAGCATTCATACTTAGCGGCAGGCAGCTGTTGTGCTTGACATGCCTAGCAAAATTACCTGCCAAGATGTCATGGGGAGCAATTTATCTGGACAAATTATGCTTCTCACACTGCGAGTCAGATAGCTGAATAGCCCTCATTGTTAAAGGTATGTATGACTGTAACAACTCCATGTGCCAAGAAGTTGGCTTTTTCCTCTTCATTATAGCTCGTTTGCCTCAAATACTGCTGTGAGCTATTTAGGGGAGAAGCACACTCCGCTTTCTTCTCAATTCCTATTATTACCCCTTATTTCAGTACCATAGCTCTTAAACAAAATGCAGGACAAGTTAGTTGCCTTTCGCTCTTATTCATGCTCATATCTGATGCAGCCAAGGACGTAATCAGACGAGTTGTTCAGTTGCTCTCCAAAGCCACTATATTGTCCTTTCCCCAAATCCTTCCATATTTAAATACTGGGGAAAAAAAGAAAAAAAAAAACCGAAGGCTATTCAGTTGGGACTTTTTGGCTGATTTAGATTCCCATGAGGATATAATACAAGGAGGCTTAATCTTCTATAAAGGCATAACATGGTGTGGTTTGCATGCCTCTTTCTACCTCTCTTTGTTTACAGTTAACATAATGTAGTTTAAACATAAACAGAAATTAGAAGGGAAAGAGAAACCAGTAACTGGATACTTGGAAACTGTATTGTCTTCCATGCTTCTGTTCAAGGTCAGAACAGCCAAAGCCAGGAAGAGAATTGGCACATTACTAAAGTGAAGGATTTGCTGTTGTTTGGCTGATAGTTTCAGGCCAAGTGAGTGGTGGCAGATGGTTTTGGCAAAGTGTTTCCTGAATGAATACTGAAGGAATGACAGAAGCACTGCACACCCATAGCTGCTGCTGCTTCTGGCATGCAGGATGAGCCAGGAGGGCCCTCTGCTAAATAAAGAAATTCTTAAGGGGATGAGAAAAGAATCATAGAATCATAGATTTGCTCAGGTTGGAAAAGACCTTAAAGATCATCAAGTCCAACCACGACCTTACTCTAACAATCCTCCTCTACATCATGTCCCTGAGCACCACATCCAAGTGGTTTTTAAACACATTTAGGGATGATGAAGAACAGGAATTTCAAGGTAAAGGAAGTAGGCTGTACACTTCTAATGTTGTTCTAACGCAGTATTTCTGTTCACTTAGTTTGTAACTTTTGAGAGTATTACTATCTTTCATTCTGTTGAATTACTCACCAATTAGGCCTATTACCTATTTTGTCATAATTCTAGGATACAGTACTCAACAATTTATGCCAGCAATTCCTTTGAGCATTAAGTTTGAGACTGGCAGTATGTTTCAGAGCCACACACAAAGTCTGGTCATCAAATTAATTATTGTGATAACTGAACTTTGGCTTAACAAGAACTGTCAGCTAGGTTTTATCCACCCACGTTTGGCTTAAACTCATCCTCAGCAGTATTTGGAAGGCTTGTAATAAGGTATGTGAGACTCAGGGTTTGTGCTGAACACTCATCTCTGATTTCAGGTCACCCATTCTGATGGAGCAGTTGCAAGCAAATTGATACTTTAATTCAGATCTCATTTTTCCTGTTTCTGAAATCATTAAGACTGACTGGTGCTTGTTTGGTATTTCTTGCTTGCAGGGAATGAGCCATCATGTTTATAACTATAACTGTGATCATGTTGTAAACTATAAGAATGATTTTCTCTCAACCATGTGTTACAGACCACAGTCATAGACTACGTGAAGCCATCAGATCTCAAAAAGGACATGAATGAGACGTTTAAGGAAAAATTCCCTCACATCAAGTTAACCCTCAGTAAAATAAGAAGGTGCGTTGCGGAGCTCGGTAAGGCTGCAACGTGATACGGCTGTCTCACGTTGCAGTGTGATTGCTGTTGTACATGAAGAGACACACAGCACTGATTGATTTTCCAAGAGCAGTGACCTGCAGAGGTGCAGAATAAGTCAGATGATTGCTTTGATTAGTTGGCTGAGAAAACCAGATAGGGGACTGTGCAAGCACGTACAACTCAGGTGTCAAGCTCCACTTATAAGAGGATGAGGATGTGAGCTGTGCTTGCGTTATACTATCAGATCCAGAAAAAATGATACAAAAAAAGACTTCAAACTTATGGCACTTAGCTTAGAAAGACAATGAAGAAGGAGAAATGGTGATTTTTGCCTCTTGTGCAAAGAGCATGGCCAGAAGCAAAACAACGGATAAGTTTCACTGCAAAGTTGTAGTATTTTGTCACTGTTTCTAGTGTAGCAGTCTATACATACTGAATAATGGTGATTTAGTGTGACTGAAATGGCCAGAAGGATGCTGGCTCCTGTTGCTCTGTAACTGCAGAATTCTACAGTGCCTAGCAAGTTTGGATTTGACCAAACATAATCAACTGCAAAGTTGCATATAGATCACAAGCAATCAATCCACTGCTATTAAATAAATTGTGTATAGCTTAAGACTTCCAATGAAATATTTTTACCAAAAAATGTCAAAGCTCTTCAGTTACTATTGCAGTTTGATACAGCTATCTGTCGGGGGAAAGGATTAAGTCAAAAAAGATTGAGTGTCCCCAAAATAGAGCATAAACATACCTGCCCAGTAAATTACACTTTCCCTTTCCATTTGTGTAAGCAGGAATCTCTGCAGTAATGACTCTTACGGTGAAATGAGTAATGCTTTAACATGCAGTTCATGGCATGCTTGTCTGGTCTCTTTACTCAGCTTGAAGAGAGAAATGCGCAAGCTTGCTCAAGAAGAATGTGGTTTTGAAGAGCCCACAGTAGCCATGGCCTTTGTCTACTTTGAGAAGCTCGCTCTCAAGGGGAAGCTGAACAAGCAGAATAGAAAGCTTTGTGCTGGAGCCTGTGTTCTTTTAGCAGCCAAAATTGGCAGTGACCTCAGAAAACATGAAGTCAAGCATCTTATAGATGTAGGTATCCATACAGTTCCTGTGTTCTCTCTACATAAAATGCCAGTGCGTGGTATATACAAGCCTGCTTATCAGTAGTCATGCTTTCTTTAGGTATCCAGCCCTCCAGCTAGCTAACCGCATTCCTTTATTTTACGTTGATGGGGAAGTAGGAGTGATCTGTGTGATAGCAGAGGACCAAGAAACCCATTTGATGTGAATGAGCACCCTTAGTATTGGATATTTTGAGGTCTGACATATATACCTTACCACCATTCTGCCAATACAAGTCAAAAGTTAACCTTCAGGAAATTCATTTTGCTTTTAATTTTAAGAGTGTTAGTAAAGACTGTTCTTTGAAAGTTAAGTGTAGATGGTAACTTGGGAAGAAATCTTACTACCAATACTATATTCATCAAGTTAACCTTTTGGGCAAGTGGATATGGTTTCCATTAGACACTTCACCCTAACTTTTTTTTTGTGGAAGAAGGTGTTCGGTCTTCTACCCACTTCATACTAGAGAGTTAAGAAACAGAGGGGTGTCTTATTCCGTAACACGTTTGCAAGCACTGATACACCGATTTAACACAACAGAAAATCAGTCTCACAGCTGAGTGCAACCAACTCACTTTAAGAGATGTGGGAACTCTGTTGGAGGCAGAATTGGACTCACATCTTTCTGCCCCAGCCACAGAACTGGTCTGGTAGTTTAGTAGAATATTCTTCAAATAGCCAGGAAAAAGTAAACTGAGTGGAAGCTGGAAGACCTGCCAATTCTGAATCATTGGTCCGCCCTTAAGGCACATGGAGGTTTTCATTAGATCCAGTGGGCAACAAAGCAGCAAGCCAAGGGAGGTCATAAGAGTGGAGCGGGGGAGAATATTTCTGAAGAGTTGGCTGCCTTCTTCTGTAGCATCCAAATCCAGTGAGAACAGCAGAACAGATGGAAGGTTTAGTACAGTACAGCAGAAAGCAAGTATGAAATCTATCTAATCTCCTTTGGGAATAGCAGTTTCTAATATACACTGTACTTAGAGTTGTTATAGATGACACTTTTTGCCTCTGAGGCATTACAGTCAAATGTATCTAATTGTAGCGTAAATAATTTCCCTAACAGTGTGTTGTAACAGTGCCATGCTGGAAACAAAATCTGAGATTTCAAGCAGAGAGGAATTCTGTGGGCACTTATAAGGTGCACATATTCCATTACACAAGTGACTGCACGCAGCTAGGTGTTTCTTTTCCTGCATTGCTAATCACTATAATCTTTAGAAGATGTATCTGCTAGAGCAGGAATGAGCGAGTTAAATGACAAACATCAGAAACAGCGAGTCTGGCTGAGCTTTGTAAACCACCTCCCCAGTAAGAAATCAGTAGGAAATAGCTGTACACACTTAGGTGCAAATGTGAATAACATCATCTGTAAGAAAGCACTGGAAAGCCAAATCCTCATTGACGAAGTCCTTTTCATTTTTTTCCTGGGCTGTTGATACAGAAACTGGAAGAGAAGTTCCGGCTGAACAGGCGAGAGCTGATTGCCTTTGAGTTCCCGGTGCTGGTGGCCTTGGAGTTTGCTCTCCACCTTCCTGAGCACGAAGTGATGCCGCACTACAGACGCTTGATCCAGAACTCCTAGCACTGGCTGCCCTGCTGGGAAGGGGCTCCGGACTGTTCCCACCCGGCTCTCTTGAGCTGCATTACTACTGGAAATGCAAAGTTACAGACTCCTAACACTTCACTCTCTCCCTCTCCGAACCAGTTTTTTCAACAACTGATGGGAAACGCTGCGTTGACGTAAGACTCGGCTTTGACAAATTTAGATGTCGTTACTTTCTCAAAGCAGGTGGAGACTGAGATGTTGGTACATGGTTAATGTGCTGAAACTGGATGGCAACTGACCCTACCAGTGGGGACTGCGGACCTACAAGCTACCTGTCATCAGTCATACAAAAGCCTGAGGGGGCAGCCTCCATTACCACCCCTCTCTCAATCACACAAACCCTGAAAGCCCACTTGAGTGCATTCTCATAGTGCTTTTTCTACAAACCTGCTGCAACTCATGAAAGGACTCCTTGTGAAAAAGCTTTTAAAGAGAATATCTTCACTGTGTCAAAAAGAATGTGCCAATCTATTTTTGTATCAGCAATTGAAAGTGCACTTTTTCCTGTGGGGTGTTTGTGTGTAGATGTGTGTGTGTGTGTGCGCGATGCAGACCTGACCTGTGTCCATGTGGGTGGCTTTGCTGTTTCAGCCTGTATCAGTTACTGAGGGGGAAGATCAAGGTGATCTTACGTGTTTACTTCTTGAAAAACATAACTACTGGAAAAGTGGTAAATGGGATCATTTTTGGATGCTCATTTCATTGTTTTCTAATTCTCTGATCTTTCCAACATCTTACCTTTGAAAGGATCACACTACTATCAGGAGAGAAGGATCAGCAGCTGACCATAAGTTTTCAGTCATGTTTGTGATAGAAGTGAAAGCATTAGTATGAGATTTCCATGTCATGTTTTTTAAAAATATCTTGTGTTAAGCCACATGCTTATTTTTAACCTTCGCACTTTTCCCACTGTGGAGATGGTTAAGACTTGCACTCTGTAGTGTTGTATTTCTGTGCTCTATGTTAGAGTGCATAATAAGCACATTTGTTGTGCTGTATCTTAAAACAGTGTTTTATTAAAAAAAAAAAAAAAAAAGTAGGGCTCAGCAGTATAACAGGTGTGTTAAGGCTCCAACAGCAGGGGCATCAGCTGTTGTTCAGGTTTTGTTTTTTAATGAAAATTGACTGTGCAAAACCTATAATCAGTGCCCATTTAAGTTAAAGACCCTGTTCCTTCCAACATTTCAGTATTGGAGTTTAACATGAAGCCTTCCTGCAACTCCCATGGCTCTGACTGGATGGATGCCCAGTAGCTGCCGAGTGTCGCCTGCACTCCCTGATGCTGCGTGGATGCTGGGCTGTGCTCATGGGCATCACTCAGCCAGTGGCATTCTGGGCATCACACCCATGTCCAATCTCCTCCTGCGCAGGTTCACTTCCCAAGCCTTGCCCTCCACGTGCCCCACAAGATCCTGTACAGTCAAATCCTTACACTTTTGATGTCTTTTATAAATAAATCTCAGCCATGAGATTGTAGCTGAAGCCTTACCTCTGTAAGTTCGGGAGTGCTTGCTCAGAGTATGGGAAGGGCTTGTGAGCAGAACGTCGAGAGGTGGGACATGTCACAGGATGTACACACACTAATGCTTACTTTCTTTCACTCTTACTTTAACCGGTTTTATTACTTCCTTTGGTTAGGCCAGAAAACATCCAGTTTCTTTACCAGCTTTGACTCCTTTAAATTCTAGTACAAAAAACACCTGCATACGATTGCTCTCTAGGATCTGGAAAGGGTTTGGGAAATGTGTCAGGACAAATGGGAATTCGTCTGATGCTGTTGCTCTCCCTCCATTTTAAGGGGGAGGGTCACTGTGCTGGCTTACAGTTATTACTAATACTTGTCTAAATACTGATTAGATACATTCCAGCAGGACTGGGGTTGGGTGAACAGAAAAATGTGCGCTTCCCTCCCCAGCGCAGCCCCCCACTCCCACTGCCTCCCAGCCCCAGCAGCCCAGGAGGAGAAGGGCCGAGTGCCCACGGCAGCACAGCAGCTGTCTGCAGACCACTGCAGTCAGCAGATCTGTCCTAGGGCCTTCCGTCCTCGGCTGTGGCCCTCCCCTCCAAAATCATGTATATACATTGAAGATTTGCTTCTGGTGGCAGAGATCTGTTCCCAGCACTGACTGCTGAAAGCTAAGAGGAGGCTTTACCTTCTGCAAAGGTTCTGCCTTTTGCTTTTTAGTCTTGATTTTTTTTTTTTTAATGTTGCTTTAGAGTATTGCAGGGAAAAAGCAAATTGTGATTGCAAGATACAGACTAAAGAATGGCAGTCTTACAGTAGTCTTCAGAGACGCTATTGAATCATGCTGTCACATTTTTTGTCTCCTGTGCTGCTACCCAATCCCGATCCACAGTTTACACAGATTTCTGGGAGGAAATCTGATTGCTGGAGACTTTCTGCTTCTTGTTGTCATTGTTTTCATTGTTTTGGGGGTGGAAAAGGGTTTTGGAGTGATGTTCAGTTACAGTTCCAATGTGGAATAAACACTTAAGATGGTGGCAATGTTGCACTGTTCACTTAGGAATGTATATAAAGCCATATGATGCTAGATCTCAAAGCACAAAGCATGGTCAGTACGATGGTGGTTAGGACTACGGGCAGCGTGTACCCCCTTTTCTCCCCAGTCCTGGGAAAATTCAGGCTGAAGTGACAGAGGAAATCTGTACCAAACAACAAACAGAAGTTGATTGTTTGCCTTTGTCTTACATGGTAACAAGTGTTGATTTACAAATGATTTTAGATTCAACTTCAAGTAGTTCCGAAAATCATCCATTCCATATCACCTGTTATGTTTTGAAATTACATACCAGACACTCTACCATGCAGAGTTTTTGCTTTTTCTAGAAAAAATAAATAAAAGTTAAAAAAAATAATTGAAAAACCCAGACTCTTTTCCACCAGTGACAGTAAGTAAAATTATTCCATTCTCTCATCTGTATGTGTCAAATGGTTCTGGTTTTGTCTTCCTCTGGGACATAAAGCTCATGATTAAGAAGTCCTGGGCATCTCCTAACCTTCATCTCCTGCAGATTCCTCACTTCCAGGATCTCTTCTCCAGCCAAGATCTCTTTTTGGCACCGGCTCCTCTCCATCACGTACATAAGCATGAAGTACACACAGACAAGCAGGCTCCTATGCATTACTTCTGTCTTTGTTAATTGGAGAGGTTGGGATATGCCACTTAGGTTTAGTCCAGGTGTTATTCAGGTTTGCAGCTAGCTCTGTACCAGTGGTAGTGCACCTGGTAGGCTGTCAGAGTGGCAGTTTTGGACACTGAACACAATTATCTGCCATCTATTAGCAGTCAAACTATCTTTTCCACCTCCGACACTCCCTAAATCCAGCACATACCTGGGCCTGGTTAGGCCAGACGTTTTCACCAGACAGCACCTACATATTGTGCTTTTGCACTGAATGGTTCAAGATCTGCTCGGATGGAGCCCTAGACAATCTGATCTAGTGCCTGACTTAGTGCCTGCCAATTCTGCCTGTGGCATGAAGGCTGGAACTGGATGGTCTTTGAGATCCCTTCCAACCAAAACCATTCTGTGATTCCACATTCACTTTAATAAAGTTTTCAGAGGTTTGGTCTCCTACCCCATACCCTTAGCTGTCTGTATTCCATAGAGCCCCATAATTGCAAATCAGTATTTGTGGCGTGAGGAACAGCAGTTTGATGTACGTGGGCCCCAGAATGTACAAATATACAGAGTGCTCTGCTAATCATCTTCCAAAGTAATCTCACAAATGCCAGTGTCATTTTGGAGTAGTCTGTAATGACTTTAAATGAAATAACATCAGCTACTTGCTTCAACCACATAGCATGGAGCCTCTTTGCTGGAGGCAGAGGAATTTATTCGAAGATAACACCTTCCCACAATGCTAGCAGATTTTGGCACCAGTCTCCATGTTAAAAACATTGAAACAACATTAAAAAAAAATTTTTTTTTAAAGGTGAAAGTTGTTTAGAGAAGTGAGAGACTGCATTCACAGCTACAGCAGTGCCAACATCACTACTGAGACTGAAATCTGTCCCAGGTTGCACCTTTAGGGAAGGGGTGGAGGTGTGGGAGGAGGACCTGAACTTCATTTGTTCATCCATCTGCCATTTGTAGAAAAGATGGGGAAAAAAAAAGGAAAGGGGAGAAGAATTTTCAGACTCATCCCTTTGCTGAGACTTGTACACAAAGAGGGCTCTCTGAAACCTTGCTCCCGTCCATTGGCTGCACAGTGAGGCCCTGCAGTCCCAGACGCATTGCCTTGGCTGTAGATTGCATAGAATCATAGAATCATAGAATGGCCTGTGTTGAAAAGGACCACAGTGATCATCCAGTTTCAACCCCCTGCTATGTGCAGGGTCACCAACCAGCAGACCAGGCTGCCCAGAGCCACATCCAGCCTGGCCCTGAATGCCTCCAGGGATGGGGCATCCACAGCCTCCTTGGGCAACCTGTTCCAGTGCGTCACCACCCTCTGTGTGAAAAACTTCCTCTAAATGTCTAACCTAAATCTCCCCTGTCTCAGTTTAAAACCATTCCCCCTTGTCCTATCACTATCCATCCACATAAATAGCCGTTCCCTCTCCTGTTTCAATGCTTCCTTCAAGGACTGGAAGGCCACAGTGAGGTCTCCCCGGAGCCTTCTCCGAGCTACACAAGCCCAATTCTCTCAACCTTTCCTTATAGGGGAGGTGCTCCAGCCTTCTGATCATCTTAGTGGCCCTCCTCTGGACTCGCTCCAAGACCCCCACATTCTTCCTGTACTGGGGGCCCCAGGCCTGGATGCAGTGCTGCAGATGGGGCCTCACAAGAGCCAAGTAGAGGGGGACAATCACCTCCCTCTGTCTGCTGGCCACCCCTTGTGTAATGCAGCCCAGAACACACTTGGCTTTCCGGGCTGCAAGCGCACACTGCTGGCTCACACTTGTGGTCCAAATGTGCTCAAAGGACAGCATTCATTCACTAGAAACCAAACAAAAGCATTGCACAGATCCCAGTGTAAAATCTCAGGACAAATAGCAAGAGCAGCAGTAGCGGCTATAGTGTGCTACTGGAAAAGAGCAGGATTGTAGTCCTGGAAGATGGCCTGTGTACCTTCCAAAGCAACAAGGAGGACCAAGAAGTTGCTGAGGTAGGCAGGCACCTCTGGGCCCACTAGATCTACTCCCTGCTCCAGCTGGGACACCCAGGGCAGGGGGACCAGGCCCATGTCCTGAAGAACAGCCACTCCAGATGGGGAGAGGAGATATGCTACCAAAGACAGATGTAAAAAACTGCAGAGATGTACAGCCCAAAGTTCTGCTGAAGGGAGGGAGGAACAGTTAACGAAATTACAGATCTGTGAAAACAATGGGAGCTTGTGGTTTCTGTTGATGTTTTCTGCTGGTAACAAACTAAGCCTGACTGTATTTTTAGCTTAGAAAGATTTCAAAGATACTAGTGCGGGAACATCGTATCTGCAAAGTTTTAAAAAGCTAGATAAAAGGTTTCCAAATTTTTCGCATCCCACTCGGAACAGAAATGATGGAATTATTGCCACCTGAGATGCATTACCCAGTGGGAACGCAGTGCCTCTCCCAGCCCTCCTCACAGCCCAGCCTGGGAAGTCCCAGCTCTCAAGAAAGCCTCCAACCAAAATGCTGAGCCTCAGGCACCTTCCTCACACCCCTCCTTCCACAGGTGAAAGCACAGCCTCATTAGCAGCCTGGCTTGGCCAACAGCCACAATCTCCCATGTTGCAGTCCACAACCCAACTGCACCACAGCTCCTCACAGAGCACGAGCATTTTAAGGAAACATTGAAGCAGGAATTAGACTTCTCGGATGGACATGGTCCAGCACTTCTCTGAAGGCTCAGGGAGCTGCGGTTGTTCAGCCTGGAGGAGAGAAGGCTTTTGGGAAAACCTCACTGTGGTCTTTTCAGAGAAGCTGTGGTGCCCCATCCCTGCAGGAGCTCAAGGCCAGGTTGGATGGGGCCCTGGGCAGCTGAGCTGCTGGGTGGCAGCCCTGCCCATGGCAGGGGGTGGGACTGGGTGGGCTTGGAGGTCCTTCCAACCCAAACGGCTCTAGGATTCTATTATCAGTACCTTTTTTTCCACCTCTCTCGTGTGCATTTTTTCTAGCCAAAAATAGAACAATTCAAGCTTATAAGCAAAAGCAATTCATATAAATGCATGTTGTTCACTTGTAAGTCTCTCAAAAGCACATCACCCAAGAGCTATGCCTAGAGTACTTCTGAGAGCTCAATGTTTAATCCGAGCTGCCCAGTAACATCCCTCTGCAGCAAGCTGTGCAGACTGGAAGACGATCAGAACCTGGAGTATTTCCATGGGTAAACACCGTAGTTTCCACCAAGCCAAAGCCAGAGCTGCCAAGTGTTCCTCCCCCATGACTGCTTTCAAAGTCCATTGATACTTTCTGAACCCAGGACTCCGTCAGCTGTCACCTGCCTTCCAGAGCAGCCTGTATGACACTTTATTTCTGCACAGACTGAAGCTGGATTAGACAACAACCTAGGCAGAAGAGATAGTAACTATTTCATGCCCAGTACCCAAACCTCTAGCTTTGTTTAACCTGAACAATACTGCACAAAGTTGCAGCCCTACCAGTCAGTAGAGCACACAAGCCATCCGAGGTACTAAGGAACATTCAGATATCACATACAAATTAATTGTTGTGTAGATGGATTAAGAACTCTTAGATCCTCTTTTCAGATCCTTTTTCCTGTTTTATGCCTTTTCAGGTGCTTTTCACTTACTGCTGTTGTTCAACTATTTTTTTTTCTTCCTTTTGGTTTACCTTTTATTACTTCAATAACCCCAAAGTAATCAGGAAGACATTGGTGCAGTGCTGGGTTGAGTCTGGCTGACTCTCACACAGCATCCAGGCTGCAGTCCCCACCCTTCATCTGATTTATTTTAAAAGCCTGCTGTGTCCATTAATGGAAAGTTGGACTCTGTTCAGGCTGTGATGGTGTCCATGGACAGGAAATTGGAAAGTTTCAGATTAAAGCTGCAGGAGGCCAGGAAGAAAAATATCTGGTGAATTTAATTGATGGTGGCAACTCAGTTATTAGGGACAAATACTAAAGAAATGGCAGCCTGTGACTCAAAACAAATCCTTACTTCAGCATGGCTTCACCAAAGGCAGATCTTGCCTGACGAATCTGGTGGCCTTCTATGATGGAGTGACAGTTTCTGTGGACAGGGAAAGGGCGGTAGATGTCATCTGCCTGGAGTTCTGCAAGGCCTTTGACATGGTCCCTCACCACATCCTTCCCTCAAAATTGGAGAGGTGTGGATTTGAAGGACAGACTGTTCGATGGATTAGGAATTGTCTGGCTGGAGGGAAGGAAGAGAAGCCATCCAGAGGGACCTGGACAGGCTGGAGAAGTGGGCCCATGAAAAACTAATGAGGTTCAATAAGACCAGGGCTGTCTTTGTGTTACTAAATTTGCTAACCATCCAAGTTACTCTGTCCTTGATTTCTTAAAGGTCTGAGACATACCTGGTGAAACCTGGGCCTCCCTGTTGCTTATGTACTCATCCAGAAATAAGAAAGCAGCGGGAGTCCCAGAGATGCCATTCTGCATTTACGTAGAAGCAAGCTGATGAGGAGAGAGAGGAGTCATAGCAGCAACCTTTGCTGAAGACCTTATCATAGAATGGCTTAGGTTGGATGGGATCTTAAAGATTATGTAGTTCCAGACCCCATCAGACACTGAAGAAGCCCATCAAGGCACAAGATGATCTGGGAACCCATCTGCACTGGGCAGAGAATAGGCTTTTCAGGCAATGGCAAATGACAATGGCAAAAATAGGCAAATGACCTGAAATCCTAGCAATGGCTTTCTTAAAGGGGAAAAAGAGAGAAAAATAGGTGAAAAGAATTCTGATTCATTTTATAATAGTACTGCCATCCTAACATCATTTATT